TCTGGGCCACTAAGTGGAAACTTTTCATCAGCCGTCTGTTCCTGGTGTTCTTCCAAGGCTGGCCTCATGCGGGGTGTGCTCTGCAGGACCCCTCTGCTCTTGCAAGCCCAGAGCATCTGTGGTGGAAAGTGCTTCTCTATCTTGCAGTCCCTGGATCCTTTGCACTGAACTGAGGCAAGGACAGATCCAGAGAAGCTGCGAATCTCCACATGTCCAGATCAGGCCGCTCTGGCCCCTACAGACACACAACTCAGGTTGCCTTGTCCCCAGCCCAGCGGCGAGTGGGGTGGCAGCAAAGGGTCTGCACCCACCCTCCATGGGCTGTTCCTGCCACATGTCCCTGACCATCGCAGGTCCCGATCCACTACCCTGGGCCTGCTAGATCCATCGCCTTCCCGCTCCCTCCCAACTCTTCATTTGACTGTGACCTGGCAGGCCATACAGGTTCTGTCCCCACACCCTCTCCCCACACCCCCCGCCCCGCCCTGTCAGGCTGAGCCTCTATCCAGGGCATCTGTCCTAGCCTGGCCCACAGGTGCAGGATCCTGCTGCCCCATCACCACAGGGACCAAGCCTCCCACCGCCTCTCCCCTGAGCTCCCCTGTGGGTGACCTTCCACCAGTAGCAGATCAGCCTGAGCATCAATATCTGATCCTGCCAGCCTCTTCTTTCTCACCTCCCACAGCCCTCCTTACTCTCAAGAGCCTCCAGCCCACTGCTGGTGCCTGCAAGCTGGCCCTCGCTCTGCCCCACCCGCCTCCTCCTGACTCCCAGCTCACTCCATGCCACCTTTCCCTTCCCTGGCCCTTTCCTGCCTGATTAAGTCCTCGCCGATCAGACACAATGCACAGGGTATGGCCGTGGCTGGAACACAAAGTGTGTAGTTTTACTTCACTCCTGATATTTAGCCTTTGGCTTCTACTTAGGTTCCAGTTGTTTCTGATCCACAGGAGGGGCCCCCTCTGGCGAGAACAGATAGGGCTGCACCGCGCACCAGACCGGAGTACACAGGTGGGTGCGACCCCGCCTCTCTCAGGCGGTCAGACTCTGAGGCTGACCCCAAAGAATGTTTTCTCCCCAAGTAGCTTATGATTCTCCTGAGGGTTACTTTCAGGGTTCATTTCATGAGCACAGGCAGGGGACCGGCCTCATCCTGCACAGGATGCTCATGGAGACACCCAGGCTCCTGCATTAGACAGAGTAGGCCTTGAGGGTGGAGGACAGGGTCTGCGTGCGCATGTGCGGTGTGCATGTGTGTATGAATGTATACACGTGCTTTCTGGGGCAAATGGGGCAGGTTGCCTCAGTTAAGGAAATAGTTTCTTCTCTTCACTGCTTCCTGGAAACACAGAAGTAAAACTGAGAAGGTAACTCTGAAGGACAGAGGGAAGTATCTGCAGAAGAGCTTTTCTTCTAAGAACCACCTCTTCTTAACTGTGCTGCTTTGAGCAAATTATTGATAATTAGCTTCTCTGAGCCTCTGTTTTCTAGTCTATAAAATGAAGATAAGCAAACAGGCCTCCTGAGGTCTTGTTCAGGGTAAAATAAAATGCTATGCATGAAGAACCTGGGCAATGCCAGCAAAAGGGCGTGATTCGCAAGTTCCCATACTTGAGCCCGTGGCCTGCTAGGAAAGGGGAGAGTTAAATAAAATCCAGCTTCCTCCCACCAAGGAGGGAGGACCAAGAATGTGCCTCAAAGAAAACATTCCACCCAGAGAGTGAGAGAGCTGGGCCTGGCTGGCTCAGTGCTGGGAAATTGTAAATGCATGTTATTATGTAAAGCACATAAGTGATTTTCAGTGTTAATTAAGATGGATGACTCTAATAATTCTGCAGGGCCCAATTCCGAGTCGCATTACCAGGCATTTAGAGAGAGTTTTTGTGCACTTTGCTTCAGTGAGCACCAGGGCCCATTAAAGGAATATCTGGGAGACAGGTTTCTCAAGCCAACTGCTCTGGATGGAAGCCAGCAGGGGTCCTTAGTGCAAAGCCCTCAAGGACTCCGCAGGGCATCACATCCCGAGAGAGTCATCCTCACCCTTCCCTCTGCAGAACAAAACCAGTTCTCATTCTCCCTTTCAAACCCGGAACTCCAGTCACCAGCACATCCGTTGTTATACCAGACTATCATTCTGGTGAGAGAGGAGAGCTTACAAAAGAAGAGGCTGATGTCCCAAGAGGTCCTATGTCTTGTCAAATATCACCAAGCTCATCAAAATTAGATGGAGGGAACTAAACGTGATAAGTCCAATCTTCCTCCATCACACAAGTCTCTTCTATTGCACACAGTCGGAATCTACCCAGTCAGGGCTCCACAAGTGATGGTGCAAGTTCACGACATTATTGCATTTCACTGCAATAATGCTGATAATGCTAGCAGCTAGCATCATCGCCATTATATGCGGTGCTTACTATGTGCTAGACATAATACATGGTTCTTCGAAATAGCTATTTTAAATAATTCCCACTACAGGGAGGCCTCCCTGGTGGCCTACGGGTTAAGTATCAGCACTATCGTCACTAAGCCTGAGTTTGATCTCTGGCCAGGGAGCTACCCACATGGTGCAACAGACCTCTCCTGTCTCATCCGCTGCTCCCCTCAGCAGTGTGTTTCGTCAGGCTGCCTGTTCTGCTCCCCACTCCATCTCTGGTGAATCCTCTCACTCTCCCACCCCTACATCTCTGGCCTATATCCCAGTTCTTCCACAAAAAATAAAAATAATAAAAAATTTAAAAACATAAATAAATAAATAGTTCCCACTACAACTCTATGAGATGGGCATTATCCTTGGAGGGTAAATGATGCCCGAGTCCACATGACTGACGTTGGCTATGCTGAGACTCTACCCACATCTCTCTGGTCTGGAGCCCTCACAGAGTAAGAGTCTCTGGGTGTCAGAAAATCAAAATCTACCTATTGAGGTGGGGGCCCCTCCTCCTCCCCTGTAACAATTCTCCCCACTCTGTCCACTGTGGAAACTCCCACCCACACTCCAGGGTCGAGCCCCATTTTCCCCAAAGGGTAGGTTCATAATCCACCTACCCCTTGTTGAGAAGGCTTTGGTTTCTCACTCAGCTTCATGCCCCTCAAGCATGCGTTAGCTGGGTCCTCCAGGGCCTGGGCAGGACTCTGACTGCTCCCCACATAATCTCCCACCTCTGGGCCTTCTTCCTCCTCTGAGTGATGGGTGTGCAGGCAGCACTGGCCTTGAGGTCAGGGACTTTGAGAAACGCCTTGCCCTGCTCCTTAGTAACCAAGAAGCCTTGGAGAAGCCACCCTAATCACCCTAAGACTTGTCTCTCCATCTTTAGAACAGGCATAGTTGTGGCGGCTGCACACTGTTACCAGGAAGGCCCAAGGTCACAATGTCTACAGAGCTTGACCACTGTCCACTCTCCACTCCCCTCCACACACTGGGGCTGTGAAGCACTGAGACAGGGTGGGAGGGGGGCAGGAGACAAGGGGCCCAGCTCCAAGGGCGTTGGCTGTCTACCCCCACCTGTTGCTGGACACTTAGACAAAATGCCAGGAAAGGGAGAAAACAGGAGGGAAGAAAAAATTAAGCTGCAAATGTTTAGTCCCATTTTGGATTGATAGGGCTTCCTTGAGGCAGAGGGAAACTTCCAGAAAGGCCACTCTAGCCCCAAATGGGCCTAGAGCTCTAGCTCCTGAGCCGCCAGCAGCCCACAGGAAGGGTCTCGGAGAAGCCAGGCTCCTGTGGTACTGAGCATCCTTGCCCTCCTGACCACAATCCAAGGTACCTCAGGGAACCCAAAGATTCTTGCTCTAAGCTCTCGCCTCTGCCTGCAGGGGCCCAGGACACACCAAGCCCTGACCAGCCAAACTGACCCCACAGTGCTCAGACCAGAAACTATCAGACCCAGCAGTAATCCTTAGTGGGCACTGGGTGCCCCTGGGACCTTAAATTCCCTCAAAGCTGCCTTTGCCTGCTGGGCCCGACTCTCCTGGACTAGGGGGGCATCTTACAACATTAGTTGGGGCTGAGTGCAGAGCAGAACTCCAGTGGGGCTCAGGTGTCCTCACCTCACAGATCCTCCCTGCATGGCACAGACAGGTCCTGTGCTCCCTCAGAGCCCTGCTTTCCGCATACATCAAAGCAGGAGAGTAACACACTCAGAGGAGCTGGCCCATGCACTGGGGCTCTGGTTACAGAACACAGACGTGGGCCTTTTTCTTGTCCCGTCTCAGCGGCTCTCCAAACGAGCTACAGAATTCTGGGGGGGACAGCGAGGACAAACAGTGGACAGTATCGTTGCTGCTCCCAAACTCTTTGTGTTTCCTGAAAACATCGCAGTTTTCTAGTCTGGATCTGGTATGAGTTTAAAGTCCTTTGTAAATCCAATAAATGACTTTGATAATAAAGATTAACAAGCTGGAAAAATAAAATCCTTCACCCAGAGCGTGGATCTTAGAGTCAGAGACATCTGGGTTTTATCTGCTGTTTATCACTCAGGCCGCAGGAGTCGCTAACAATCAAGCATGTCTTACAGGCCTCGCAGGCTGGGGTGGTGATGGCCTCAGTGGTCACTCAACATCATTGCCTCTCCCCTGGGCAGGCCCTCAGCAGCAGCATTCTCTCTGACTATAAGGTGACATTTTCGCAAAGTGACAAATCTTTGCAAGGTAAGCACAAACTTGTAAGGTGACAACTTTGAGGTTTGGAGGGACCATGTGGCTAGAGGTGTCCATGACTCATGAATGGAGGAGATAGCTTCATCTTTCTTGTTAGAGTCTTTCAGCAGCCACCTTCCCATGAACTTTTCCCTTGGAGGCAATGGCTGACAAGGTCTAAGAACAAACTCACTTCACCAGAACTTCTGAGTGGTTCTGAAGAGCAGAGACCACTCAGCTATGATAACAAGTAAAATAAAGGACAAACAAATCTTCGTTGTCTTTTAGGTCTCTGAGAGGTGGGGGGTGGCCCACCTGGACCAATACCAAAAATCACTTCAAGCTTCAGGCAACAGAGGGCTTTATTCACTGACCAGGGAATGGAGAAGAGAGAAACAGGAACATATATGTGGGAGTTCTAAGGTCGGGGGGGGGGCACTAAAAATTATGTGTGAGCGAAATTTCAGAGAAATAGCGAGTTTTTCCAGGGACAGCATTCATACCCCTTTTACTCGAGGGGTGTTGAGTTTGATCTTGACAAGGTACGTCATGGTGCTTGTAATTATGATTTTTAACTGTGGTCACGGGACAGTGACTAACCCTTGTCTGTCTTCTACCTCCATCTTGGCCTCGGCTGATTTTGCCTTACTTCTGCAGTTTTATCTTCAGGAACAGAACAAGGATGAGAGGGTCTTCTGCAAAAATAATATGAAGAGCAACAGGGTATGGTCCAGCAACAGCAACAGGACCCAGTACATATTTCTTAAAACTTAGCTATTATTATTTTCCACTGGGTCCCAGTACATCTGGGTACTTCCAAAGAAATGATAAAGGAATTAAGAGGAATTGAGTGCCAACATTATATTAAACTCTTGAGACACATCCTCCCTAAAATCCCAGGAGATGCACTCTGATTATCCCCGTTTAAAAGATAAAGAAACTGAGGCTCAGGGACAGTGAGAAACTGGCCTGAAACTAACAGCAAGGGAACATCACAGCAAGATCTCACCCAGATCCAGCCAGCAAATACATTATGCACAGTTATTCCTCCCCCACCCCCCACTCACCACCCCTTCTTCCTTATTTCCGCAAGAAAAATATGTCCTCATGAGTCCTCCTCACACCATCTCCCTTGCTTCTTGGATGGCTCTTGGTAGTGGCCGCAGCATCCATTCACCTAGTGACCTAATTCTGTGATGTTCCGTGTGGCTGGCATAATCAGAGTCCACTTGAAGACCCCAAAGTCCACGCACAAGTCCCCAAGACTGGGGACTCACAGGCAGAAACAGGCCACCTCCACTCTGGTTTCCTGCTCCAACCAGGCCCTCTTATCCCCCCTTGAGAGCCCGCTGGGCACCATGGGGTCACTGGACTGAGTCCTTCCCTGTTGATGAGCAAGTCTATATATTGTGCTCTTTGCATAGATGCCACATTCTCAGAATCTCTTCTCATGTAAAAAGACAGAGACTAAGGAATGACTTTCCTCTGCTCCAGCAGCCTTAACTGAGATCACTTGAGTGACCAGGAGGCAGAGACATCCAGAGGCTTCTTTGCTCACATGTTGGATTCTGGGCTAAGACAGCTGGAAGGGTGGACTCAGTTGGGACTGTTGACAAGAGAGCCCACACTTGGCTTCTTCAAGTGGCGTGGACTTCTCCTAGCATGGTTACTGCATGTCAAGAAGGATCATCTGGAAAGCCAGATTTCTTGTAGAATCTGTGAAAGCTGCATGGCCATATCTGAAACTACTGCAATTCATTCATAACAAGCAAGTCACTAACCCAGATCAAAGGAAAATAATTCTTGATGGCCTGTGCCCTTTGCCCAGTAGGTAAAAGATAAGGCTCCTGTCTTCTCTGGAAAATGCCCCCACCCCCTACCACACTCTGGAAAGGAAGAAGTGTGATCATTACGCCTCAGGGGCCAAAGCCCTCTACCCCTATGGCGGTGCTTCTAAAGGCTGTGCCACCTGTGCCACCATAACCCTGCCATATAGAACTTTGCCTGCCCAGAGAGAGGGTAGTCATGACTGGACCAGGAGGCTCTAGAAACCTCTGCAGTGTCTCCAGTCCTGAGAAATGTGTGTTGGGAAACTGGGGCCTCATTCTTCAAGAACACAATCTGGCAGAAGGATGTCAGCAAGTCTTGGCATCGTTGTCCTTCAGAGATGTCCTGCGTCCCTAGTAATGGCACAAGTTCCTGACTTCAGGTATGTGGAGGCAGCATCATCAGAGAAAAGATGCTTGAGTCCCCAACATAGCCAAGGGCACTTGTCTGCCCCCAAGCAAACATCAGAGATGGCAGGGTATCCCCCTGGCACTTTGGAGGCACCCCTCGACATCCTCTAGCTCCTCACACTGGAGCTTTGTTCCATCAAGACCACCTTTGACCAGCTTAAATGCAGCCCTTGTCTTTACCTGTCACATTTAGCTTCATTGTTAAGGGTTTTCTTCATCTTCTGGGAAGATTATCCTTTTGCTTAAGGAGACATAAGAGAAAGAAACTACCATAGGAATGAAGAAGGGAGATGAGCAAGTTTGCCCCAGGGCTCCTGGCCTTCTGCATCAGAAGACAGCGAGCGGTGTGCAAATCCTGCCGAAGGAACACAGACATTCTGCTTTGGACTTAGGCTGAAGGAGAGAAGCCATTTACCCCTGGCAGTGGTTAGGGCCCAAGATCTCTCCAGAGCAATCAGGAGGGTCCTGAGGCTCAGCTGGGGGCCATAAGATCTGCATCCAAGAAGAAGATGGTGTGTGGGGAGCTCCCTACAGAGAGGAGCAGTCTCTCAGGGCAGCTGCATTACCTGCACTTGCAGCCACATAGGAACACATCCAAGGACCAACCGAAGCTACTGATAGCCACAAGGCCAAGACCATGCCAAAAGGGGCTGACCCGAAGGAACATGACGGTGATTATGACCCGCTATGTCAGGTAGGCAGGTAAGGTCTGGGGAGACACGGGGACACTGGGATTTAATGTACTGTATGGCAACAGAAAAGGTGTCACACACTGGCATGCAACTAATTAGCAAAAAAAAAAAAAAAAAAAAAAAAGACAGACCTGACGTCAGCAAGGTCGGAGGATCTGGAAATCATTGTAAGATGAGAAACCTGAGTAAGAATCGGGGCTGCAGCACTGAGCTCAGTGACCACAAAATGGAAAACTTGAGAGAAAGAGGGAGTGAGCGTGGGGCTGTGAGCCCTGGTCTGGAAGGCACAAGTCTTGAGTCTGCACACTCACAAGGTCCCACTGGATCTCAGCTCCCTCCTCCAGGAGGAACAGGCAGTTCTGAGACCTGTTTGGGGCCACACAAAGCTCTGGTCCTGTGCAATACCCTGGGAGCAGCAGAGAAGACCAGGAGCCTCTTGTCCTGCAGATCCTCAGGGCGTGGCCGCTGACTGGGAAGACGAACGTCTCTGGGCAACAGAGGGGATGGACAGGGATATGTCTCTTTACCTCCCCTCCTTGAATACCAAAGGACCATGGCTTTTACCTTTCCCAGAAGAAGCAGCTCACTTTAAATTCCTCCCAGTTCCAGTCAAAATTCTTTTGATTGTCATTAAAATTACATGAGTGGCTTCATGCAATTTTAATGTTCTCTACCAACAAATTCTGCAGGAGAAAACCCCCCAGGCATCCCACTGATCATTCTAAGGAGATACAACAAAGCATTCCAAGACGGGAGTTTTAACCAAAAAGAAAATGAAATGAATATTTCATTGATGATAGGTCATCTGGTGAGGAATTTTTTCCAATTTTTTCATTAAAAAAATCAAACTCTAAATCCAACAGCTTGTAAAGGCACTGACCAGCCAGATACCAACCTCTTAGATTTATCAAACACCCTCTCAACTATGCTTCCTATACAACTGGCCACGATTTATAGGTCAATAACCTCTAAGGCCGTTTTGCCAACCAAAGTGAATGAATTTGGTCATGCACTTTGCTTTAACCTCATAATGTTCTGCTTGTTCCAAGACCTCCTACTGCTGCTATCCAAATACCCCAAATATCCACCTCAGCACCTACAAATCAAAAGCTTATGCCTCGAACTTGAGAGCCTCTTAGAAGATTCTGAAACTCCCAAGAAGCATTCATTCCAAAGCCTGACTCCAGGTGAGTTGGAGCCCAAATGTTAATGAATAAAAAGAATTTCTGGGCTGCTGTTGTGAAAAAATAAACTTACTGGTCTTGGTCCCTGGTTCCTGGGAGGTAACCTCAAAGTCCTTGGATTTCCTGAGTGATAGGTGGGCCTTTCCTACTTATTGTGGACTCACGCTGACTTCATGCCAAGCAGATAATGCAGGGGCTGGCCAGGCCAGAAAGACCAATCACTCAATTAGAGGGTTGGCATTTTGAGCCACATGATATCAACCCACCATCGGGGCGGGGGTAGTGGGGAGGCAGGTGGAGATGGAGTTCAACCACATGGCCAGTGGTTTAATCAACGATACCAACAAAGTGAAACCCCCATAGAAAGTCTGACACCAAGCTCAGGTGTGACTTGTGACACATCAATGCACCACAAGGACACCTGGGGGGGGGCATGGAAGCTTCAAGTTGGGGACCTTCCCAGACCTTTCCCTGAGTTTCTTTATTTGGCTGCTCTTGTTTGTATCATTTCTAGTAAATTTATCATCATAAATATAGTACTCTCCTGAATTTTGTAAGTTTTTCTTGAGATTTATCACCGCTGAGGGCATAGTGGGAGCCCCTGTAGTTATAGCCAGTTGGCCGGTCAGAAGTGTAGGTGGTCAGAAGCCGGGAGGGCCCCAGAGCTTGCAACTGGTGTTGGAAGTGAAGGCCATCTTGTGATGGCTATTGCCCTTAACCTGTGGAGAAAGCACTGATGCCAGGAAGGTAGTGTCAGGATCACCCTCCTGCTATGCCTCCAACTCACTTATTTTTGTGCTAAGAGGCTGTGGGGAGACACAACTCCATAATCCAAACTGGTGACTAGTTGGTAGGATGCTGGTGACCCCATCACAGTTCCAAGTAGATATTTGGGATTTAGGGGTATAGTAAGCAGAATTCTGTGATGGTCTCCAAGATTCCTGTCCCGGTACATACCATCTTTTGAGCAGTGTGTTTGTGAGGGATTGCCCTTCTCTGGTTAGGTTATGATATAGAACATCACAATTTCACCTTGTGAGACCCTGAGAAGAGAATCCAACTTAGCAGCACTCAAACTTCTACCCTATTGACACCATGAGATGATAGCATCACAAGACCACTAAGCTTGCAGTCATTTAATATGCTGCTGTAGAAAGCTAGTATGTCTGTACAGGTAGGGAAAGTAAGTGGGCAATAAACACAAACGTTGCCAAAGTCAAAGGTGATCCAGTTGCAAATTCTGTCCCAGAAAAGGCAAGCGGTATGGTCTGAGAAAAGGGCAACCAGAATGTGGGTGAGACATGAAACCAGATTTCATGTCTGTCCATGAAACCAGGACAGAAACCCAGAGGAACTCTTGGGTGGGGAGAGAAGCTGTCTGACCTCAAAAGAAGCAGTTAGATTTCTGTCTTCAAATGGCTGGAAGCAACCCGTGCTGGCTATGAACTCAACACAAAGAAGAAGATTCTAACATCCCAAGATGCCTAGAAATGGCTGTCTTTATCATTTAGTCTCTTAGTCCATCCCAAGCACACAATTGAATTAAATTAGAAACAAAAGGAGAAATCAGGGCAAGCAAGTAGAGACAAGAAAATAAACAGGTGAAAAGCTACCCATAGCACTTAGTGGGTTGGATTAAAAGATCCTATACTTAAACATCATATACTATGATGAAAACCAATGTCACCTCAATTAAATAAATGTATAAATAAATAAACAAATAAATAAATGCAGACCTACTTTTTAAGAAGCTCCCCTGGCCTACAGTGTCTATGTTTCTACATTAAATGCCACTTGAAATTGTCACTACCACTTTAGCGGTTTGATGCAAAGAATATAAAAGATGAATTGAGATGCTATTGGGTCAGGACAGATGGATACCTGAATCCTGACTTCCTCACATTTCCTGAAAGTATAAACCAAGGAAAAGGAAGGTTCCAGCACATTCTGGGGCTTTAACTCCCAACCTCATGCCAGAATTCCACCAAGCATGACTAGATCTTCTACAAAATTCCCTTCACTTAAGAGTTTCCTAATACCTAAGCAAGTCTTAAGACATGTTCTGACCCTTTATTTCATTCCTAACACAAAACCCAAATCTTGGTACCTTGCTATTGGAGTTTGAGAAAAAATGCTCCCTTCCAGGGAAAAGCAGAGGCGAGTAAATGAGACCAAAGCAAACCAGAAAAGAAACCCAATGCCCAAAGGAAGCTGAGCTAGGTGCCCTGCTGCCTTCCTGGGGCGCCCCCTTACTGTCTCTACAGTTCTCTTCACCTATACGCAGGGTCAGATTCTCCATTTCCTTGTCATTTCCTTGTCTCCATTCTCCATGTCATTATCCCTCTTGCTTGACTTGCTCACTCCGTTGGAACACATCCTCCACCAGCTTCCTGGGAAAAGGCCACAGGGGTCAACTTTAAATCTTTCCCATCTGAAATAACCATCCGTCTTCCTTCCTTTTGACTGACATTTTACCAAGTATAGAATTTGAAAGGGAGGAACTTTTCTCAGTATGGGAATTATCACTCCATTGTCTGCGCTTTTCCGATACTGCCCTTGGGAACCAGGAGACATTCTGATACTTCTCTGTTTCTTCTCTACGCTTTGGTGTGGTTGTTATTCCTGGCACTGGACACCTTCTCGGTGGGCCATCTCAATTCAGAAATTCAGGTCTTTCAATTCTAAAATATCTTTCTCATATAATTTCTTTTGGGTCCTGCCCTCTTCTCTCACCCACACTGAGGCCAGAGGAGCAATCTGGGGGGGGTGATGCTGGGAAGGGGGAGGAGAACATTGGAGGAAGCCAGCCAGCAGCTTGTGTAGCTCTGAACCCTACCCAGAGCACCAGGAGCACCCACTTTCCCCAGTCTTGGGGCGAGGAGTCAGGGCCCTCCTTCCGAAAGCACTGCCCGAATAGAAAAAGTCAGGCTAATTCCTTAACCCTGAAATTTCCCAGAGTCATCACAGGACCTGTTTGCTAGTACAGCCCGAGTTTACTAATTCAACTGCTCCTTCTTCGGGAAAACCTTGCTATCTGCCTTATTTCCACCTTAAGGTGTAATTTCCCTGTATGTAATTCCCACTCGACTTTTTTTTATTTCATATATTTTTTACACATTTTTCATTTTTGTACAATGTCTCCATTTTCATCTTGATTATAGTCCCTGTCAAATTCCCACCCCCCTTGTTTTGATCCTACTCCCTCCCCCATCCCCCATAGTGTGTCTCTGGTTTACAGTTGCCTGTTGAATTTCATTTTTACCTTATTATAGTCAGTCTTTTTCCTGATCCCTTATTTGGGTTTTCTAAATTCCTGCTATGAGTGAGACCATCCGGTATTTTTCTTTTTCTTTCTGGCTTATTTCACTGAGCATGACCCCTTCCAGCACCATCCATGTTGCTGTAAATGGCATGAGTTTATCTTCTTTTGATTGCTGAGTAATATTCCATTGTGTATATGTACCACATCTTCGAGGATGTGGAGAAAAAGGAACTCTCCTGCACTGTTGGTGGGAGTGCAAACTGGTCCAACCACTATGGAGAGCTGTGTGGAGATTTCTGGACCTACTAAAGATGGAGCTTCTATATGATCCAGCCATTCCACTCCTAGGTATTTACCCAAAGGACACAAAAATTAATTCAAAAGGACAACTGCACCCCATGGTTTCAGCAGCACTATTTACAATAGCTAAGCTATGGAAACAACCCAAATGCCCCAAAATCGATGACTGGATCAAGAAGATGTGGTCCATCAACTTCTTTTATAAATCATTTCCTTCCCACCATTTCTCTGTCCTTCCTCTCTGACATATGATAACTGGATGTTAATCCCCATGGAATTCTTATCTAGTTTTATTTTTCCTATTTCCCATCTCTGTCTGGGAGATTTCTGAAACTTGACTTCCCAACACATCTATGGGATTCCGTGCTATCATATTCTTAATTTCCAGTGTCACTTTTTTATTCTCTTTTTCTCTTACCTAGCAACAATATTCTTGTCTATTTCGTTGTAGTGGAATTCTAAGTTTTCTCCTGCTTCCCACTGTGTCTCTGTAAACTTCCTTTTCCCTTTGTTTTTTTGTTTGCTTTTGTTTGGAATTCTTGCTATCATGTTTGGCTCTTGTTTGGTTAGAATCATTCTTCAGATGCCGGGCGGCTGTCGGATGCCCATAATCCAGACAGAGAGGCACAGAAGCTATTGAAAGGATAGAAAGAAAAAGCTTCTCAGCTGAGATGTGGCAGTAACCCCACAGGCTTCCTGTTACTGAAGGGTAAGGACTTAAAACATTTTTTCCAAGCACTAAATTGCAGGTAAGAACTGTTGCCCAAAGATGGTTGCTCTCTGTATACTTCCATGCACCAGCTGGAACTCTGTCTACACTCTAGGTCTCCACTATGGTGGGAGGAGTTGCGTGAACACTTCTGGCTTGGTCATAAGACAGTTGCCAGTTTGCATGCACCGTGAAAATGTTGTGGACATTTCCCTATTGTTGCCTCACAGGGCAGCACCGTTAGGAGCGGCACGGGACAGAGGAAAGACAACTCAAAGACCAAGTAGTGAGAGAGAGAAACCTAGAGGGGCTCACACCTCTAGAGAGGTAGCCCCTTCCCCCCACCCTGGCCAGTCTCACATTTGTTTGGTATCGTATTCAGGGAAGGTGGGCAAGTATGTTGAGGAGTGTGTGGAGCAATGTGCTTGGTGGGGATGTGATTGGGGTTGCATAATAGTCTGATACGAGCTACAGGGAAATGAATAGGGGCCATTGCCTGGGGGGCTCCATTGTTGCTGCTGATCAGAACATCCTATCTCTAGTCCCTGTTTGCACTTAACTTCCTGCCAAGGTGGTCTAGCTGGTGATGATAATCTGGCATTAATGTCTGCCTGCTGTTTTCAGCAGATATCCTCATACAAAGACTTTTGTCCTGGTGAAAGTTCCCCTGCCTGATGCTACATTTTAGCTTGACCATCAGCAACTTTGGGTGCCAAGACAACATCCTGAGCATAAGGGGGGGTGGGTCTGAGGGATCCACACCCTATGGTTGATTACTTCTGGAGAAGTGGCATGCTAACCCTCTCTCCTGAACTCTCACATTTCAGTCCATGCAGAGGAAGGCCCTCAGGTAGATGAGCACCAGCCACAGGAAGCATCGCCACTTCCCTGGTCCTCACAAGAACCATTCCCATCCATAGAGATTATCAAGACCCCCAAATTGAGTCTGACACCACCACCTAGGCTGGGTCCAGATTGATCACCACAAACCCTGTGGAATTTACTTTTGTTCTTCAAAGAGAATGTGGTTCCCAGGGGGACATTCATCAGTGTTCCATGCGGAACTACTAGGCAGGGTGGTCAGGGCACAGAAGGAAGGCCCCAGAAGATGCTGCTTCTCCTGTTGGGCTGTTTCCTGCCTGCCACCCTTGGGAAGCGGTGCCTCCACTGCTGGCCAGAACTGTCTGCACTGATGGACTATGACCTGCAGATCCTTTGGGGCACCCCAGGACCCCCCACAGAGCTCTCCCAAAGCATCCACAACATGTTCCTGAACAAGCAGGTCTCCCCCCAACTCTGGTACCTTGGTGAGGTGCAGCCAGGACACCAGACCTCAGGACTGGCCCCTTCACCCTGCCTGGGTCTTTCTATCCTGACTCTCCTGTGTCCACATCCTATTCCCAGGTCAGGATCAGCTGGAGGAAGAAGCAGCCATATTATTCATTCAAATAGATGAAGCCATAAAGAGGTTGCGAGATGGTGAGGAAGGGTCTCGGGGCCTGGGGTTTGGTGGAAAAAGCCCAGCCCCATGGGGGTTGGAGTGAAGGGTGGAGACAGCAGACACTGCACTTTGGAAAAGATCAGTTGGAACCTCCAACCTTGAGAAAGTTAGCTCATCAATTCCTCCAAAGAAACGTGACTGCCACTGTTATCCTTTGCCTCCTACTGCACTCAGATAGGCAACAACTTATGGATGAGATTCAAATACAGAAGCAAATGTTTGCTGAGAAGCTGATCAAGAGATCTGAGGAACTAAAGGAGAAGGGTGAGAGGAGGAGCTGCCTCTGCCGACTCCCTGCCCCCGGCCTCCACCTCCCTCCAGGCCCGAGGAGAGCAGAATCTAAGCTGCAGGCCCCCTCCCCTGATCCACCCCATGTTGCCCACCTACCCTCAGCTCCATTTCCTTCTCATGCCCCGACCCTTCCTAGCTCTGCCTGCCTCACCAGCACCTCAATTTCTCTACCATATTACCTTCCTGAGCAGCCTGCAACAATTCCTGTGGTGAGTATCTTTGGGAACTGGGCCTGGATGAGGGGTGAGGAGCCCCTGACCCCCCCTCTAAGACTCCTGCCCACCCTGTCCCACAGAATTTTGGACCACGGAGGTCATGAACTGTGTCAGCTGTGAAATACACTATCTCACCTGCCATGACTCCACACTCTGCCCAGGTCAGTGGCCAGCAGCCAGGCTGGCCTTGTCCTCCCCCAATCCCTCTTGCTGCCTTTGAAGCCTCTGTCTGGATGGCCTCCTGCTCTGTCCTTCCCTGCGCTCACCTTGCACCTATCTTCCCTAGTAAGGGTGGCACCCCCTGGGGTTTCTCGATTTCCACATGTCCAGTTCAAAGCCACAGAGCCACCCTCTAGGACAGCTACCCTGGAGGCCCTTTGATTTACAAAGCCAGTGTGCCTGGAGACCGATCCAAGCCCAGGTCCACCCCCACCAGATCTGCTCTCCCCTCAAGGCCACTCCCCACAAATGGCATCACTCAAGTTCTCAGCTCCTGTGCAGGCTTCTCCCTCCTCCTTGTTCAGTACAGGTCGTTGCCAAGTCATGCTAAATAATTCTTAAAAGGTAGCCATATGTGTATTCCCCACCCAGCATTCTCATCTCTCACCTGGATTCTGGCAGCTTCCCCTCACTGGCCTCGTTACCCTTCCTGGCCCCATCTTACTCGGCAACCAAACAACTATTTCACAAGAAGCAAATCAACCCATGGTACTCCTGATTTATAATCTTCAGAGGCTCCCAATTGCTCTCAGATAAAATCCTTCCTCAGGAAGCCTGGTGTGAGCTGTTTCTGCTCAACTCCCTCCAGCCCTGACGCCCCTGCATATGGAGCTACTGGCCGCTGGACATATGGACAACTTCACGTTTTGTGTCCTTGAACATTCTGTGTCCTCTGCCTGGGACAGTTTTGTCCTTGGCAATCTGAACTGAGCTCCTATTGACTTGCAAAGTCTGCTTGGAAGACTTGTTTCCTAAAAAGCTTTCCCTGACCAGTTCCCACCACCGCCACCCCCAGGTCCCTCAACCCCCTCTTCCCTATCCTGCCCCACTTTCCTGCTTGTCTTCCTCCTGGAGAGCAGGGGCCGTGTCTCGCTCAGCTCTAATTGTACCCTGGGCACATGGTCGGTGCTCAGTAAGTGCTTGTAAACAAGTGACTGAGTAGACAAAGAGAAACGAAGAATGTGGCCTTCTCTCTGAGTCACAACGGCTCTGACCTCTCCCCTAACACCTGACTCCCCCTTTTGCACCCCAGTCAAGCGCAAGTGGGACATCGTCTGGGCTGTCATCTTCAGTATTTCTCTGCTCCTGGCCACCATGGCTGGAGGTGGGTGAGTGACTTCTCCAGGCCCTAGTACCCCAAGGAGGACACAACCACTCCCTGACTGACCTGTCTCTACCCTGTTTCCTGGTACAGAGTCTTGGTGTGGTGGATTGAGAAGAAGAAGAAGAAGAAGGCAAGAGAGGTACTGGGAAAGGAGACCCTTGTTGGAATCTAGGGATCAGTCCCAAGAAGAGAAAAATTGAGTCTGCCCCGGGGGTAACCAGACCTCGAAGTCTCAACTCTAGGCTCCCAGGGTCTGGCATGCAGAGCAGGTGGGATGCGGGCCCAGACTCAGGAGGGTGTGCCGTCAGCCCCCCTCCACCAACGTGGGCAGACACACCTGGCCTCGGAGGACCTTGGGTCAGCCCCTCAGTATGCACGGACGCACAAGGCCAGGGGCCCAGGATACTGCACAGCATAGCTCCAGGTCTCCTACTAGATCCACAGTGTCCTCTTGCCTCCGCTGGGTCCCTCTGCAGACCCACTCTCCATCCTTGGCCAGCCTGAGCCCCAGTCTGCATGGCCTCCCAACATGGCCCCTTGCCCTGGGCTCCCGGTTAGGCTCAGTGGCAGGAGCCAGTGTGAACAGGCGATGCTTATCTCTCTGCAGGGACAGGCCAGGCTGTCCTCACCTCTGCTATCAGAAAGTTCTTTCAGCTCTGAATCCCGGTAACTCCCTCTCCTGACCCGCCCTGCCCCCGGGTGGTGACAAGTCTGAACTCCAGAGGCCAACAGCGCTTATGGTGGCCTCATGTCCACGTCCGTGCTTTGTAAATGCCCTTCATTAAAATGTTTTCCTCTGTTTCTGAGGTCAGACTCAACCATGTGTGGCCTGCGGGGCCCCGGACAGATGCACCTGCCAGGACTATTCCATCTCCTCACCCTCTCCCAGCAGGCCCGCCAGAGCCGCTCCTCTCCCTGCAGCCTGGCCGCCTGACAGCCCGACCTAATTCCAACCCTGAAGATGAGGAAAAGGTGGCCTTGGTTCTGAGAAGGGCCCCTGAGTCTGGTCATGAGCAGGTGAAGGCGTCAGCATGAGCAGAGATGAACAGAACACCAGAAAACAGGCTCAAGTCACGTGAACAGGCACTTCACCTGTGTCCTGGCCAGGAGGTCTGCTCTGAGGACACTCCTGTCCCCAGTGCCTCACTCTGGTGCTCCCAGGAGCTTCTCCTGGCTCTGCCCTCGGGATGGTGGGGGGCCTCTGCTCCATCTTTCTCCATGTGCCTTTGCTTCTCTGCCTCCAGGCTAAATGGAACACCCATGTCTTCAGACACAGCTGTGCTCCTTCCCCTCAACCCTGTGCCCCATCACTGATTCTCCTGGTCACTCAACCTTGGCCCAGCCCTCTCCCAAGAATAATGGGACCTCTCCAGCAACTTGGAGGCCACTGCCAGGCCCAGAACCCTGGTCATCAGGTCAGCTCCTGGGTCCTGACAGGAGATAAGAATGTGAGTGGGCTGCCCAGAACCTGGACTCAAATCCTGCCTCTGACACCAAGGCTCTTGCATTGCCACCCTGTGTCTCAGTTTACCCATCTGAGCTCAAGAGAAGATGATGTCTTAGCTGAGTTCATATGGCCCAATCCAGATTCCACTGGGTTCGGGTTTGTCATCCCACATTTGCTCATGCTCTGTGTACAAATCCATGCCCTTGTTCCCCACTCCCCCATAGTTCACTGAAATCCCAACAAGACCTAAGGGCCAGCTACTAAAATGACACCTCTTATCTCCTTAGGCCCCAATGGTGCTCTCCCTCAAAGCTGGAGCCAGGTCTGGAAGTGGGGCCAGTGGGTAGGATTGCACTCTTGTGACTGCAAGGGCCCCAAGGTGAGGCCATAAATGGCAGCCAAGGAAGGAAGCACCATATCTGGGGGACGCTATGGGCCCCCACCCTCAGGCACCCACTTGCACAACTGGGGACCCAGGAAGGCCTCCCCAGATACCTCCTGGGGTGGTATCTTCAACAGTGAGAGGAAGCAAAGTGAGAAGGGAAGGAAGAAGTGTTTCATAGATGGCTGAACAGTGCAGGGGAACTCAGGAGAAAGATCTTGCAAAGTTCTGGCAACACCAGGATCTCTGGTGTGGCTGGAGGGAGGGGCCCAGGGGAGCGGCGAGGCCCCAGATGCTCCTAAGCCTGTGCAGAAGTGAAGAGAGCCTGAGAGAAGAACGTGAGAAGAGAGGGCTTGTGGGGAGGCAGTAGTGGGTGTTGCCAAAGTGGACTCCGGTCCCAGGAGTGGAGAGAAATACAGAACAGGGAAGGGTGTGCAGAAATGGCTCTCCTCTGGGAACTGAGGTGGCCCATCCCCCCAGGTCCACGGGCCTTCCCTGGTGCACTAAGTTGGGGGCGGGGTGCCACAGATCTAAAATATTTGGGGAAAGCATAATGCTTTCCCCAAAAGCATCCCATGGACGTAGCTGCAGTCAAATGGGAGGACACAGTCATAGCTACTCTGAACCACCAAGCCAGAGGCCTGGGCGGTGGCAGTGGACCCCAGGGGTTGGCTCCCCGGAGGAGAAGCTGGCTGCCTACCAGGACACGGGAACAAGCAGACCCTTTCTTTACCCTCACTCTAATTTTTTTTTAATTGAGCTAACACTGCATCATAACATAAGTTTCAGGTGCGCCTCTTTGAAAATAAGCATATGTATATAGTACATTAAGTTCACCTCTGGAAGTTCCATCCTCCATCGTGTGATTGTTCCTGTTTCCCCACTTACCCAGCTCCTTCCCTTCCACTAAGCACTAATTGGCCTCGTAGTCCAAAAGTTTATTTTTGTTTTATTTAATTCATCTTGTTTGTTTTCTCTATATCCAACCTGTGAGTGTTGATTTATTCCGTCTGGTTTATTTCACTAAGTCTAACAGGAGAATTCCAGGTGGCTGCAAACAGCAGAATTTCATCTTTCTTCTATAGCCGAGTAGCATTTCATGGTGTGCCTGCAGCACAACTTCTTCACAATTCACCCACGGATGGGCACTTAAAGTGTTTCTAGTTCTTGGATATTGTAAATAATGCTGCACTAGGGGCACATATTTCTCTTCAAATTTGTGTTTTTGTAATTTTCAGGTAAGTTCCCAGAAATGGGATCACTGGGTCACATGGAATTTCTAATTTTAATTTTTTGAGCTATCTCCATACTGCTTCCATAATGGCCGCACCAATATATATTCCCACCTGGACTGCTCCCTTCTCTCTACTTCCTCCTCCCACACTTGTTTCTTGATTTTTGACAACCATTTTCACAGGTATGAGGTGATCGATATCTCATGTTGATTTTGATCTGCATTTCTTTAAAAATGGGATAATGAATATCTTTTCACGTATATTATGGCCACATGTAGGGAAGTGTCTATTCAGATTCTCTGCCCATTATTTAATTGAGTTCCTTGTTTTGTTGTTTTATGAGCTCTTTGTATATTTTGGATATTTACTGGCTTTGGATTTAATTAACCCCTTGTTGGATGTTATCATGTGCAAATACTTTCTCCAATTCAGAAGGGTGTCTTTTTCATGTTAATGGAAGTTTCTTTTGCTGTGCAAAAATCTATTTAGTTTGATTTAGTTTGATGTCCATTTGTCTATTTCTGCTTTTGTTTCATTTGTCACAGGAATGGAGTCCCCAAAAGTATTTCTAAGGCTTATGTCAAGGAGAGTGTTTCTTATATTTTTCTTCTCTGTATTTTATGGTTTCAGGTCTTACATCGTGGTCTTTGATTCACTTTGAATTAATTATTGTGAATGGCATTAGATAGTGAACTAGTTTCATTCCTTTGCATGTGGCTATCAAGTTTTCCCTGTGCCATTTATTGAAGAAACTTTCCTTACTCTGTGTAAGTTCCTGGCTCTTTTGTAAATTAGTTGTACATGTGTGTAATTTTATTTCAGCTCAATTCTGTTCTATTGATCTGTGTGTGTTTATGCCACTTTACTTTGTTCCAAATATATTTCATGACATTTTGTTCTATTTTTGTGAGAATACCATTGGGATTTTGACAGAGATCACATTCAATCTTATGTCACTTTAGATAATACAGACATTTTAATAATGTTAATTTTTCCCATCCATGAACAGAGAATACATTTCCATCTCCTTGTTTCTTCTATTCCTTTCAGTGACATCATATTGTTTTCAGTATAAAGGCCTTTCACTTTGGTAAAACTTATTCCAAAGTGTTTAATTCTTTTTGATGCGATTGTAACGAAATTGTTTCCCTGAATTCCTTTTCTGCTAGATAATGCTAGTTCATTATCTTTATACAGAAACACGATATACTTTGTATATTAATTTTGTAGCCTGTCAATTTACTCTATTCGCTCATTCTATCTAATTATTTTTTCTACTACAGTTTTTAGATTTCTTAAGTATATTATCATGGCATCCCCAAAGAGAAATAATTTACCTCTTCTTTCCACTTTGGATACCATTTATAGTCTTTACCTGTCTAATTGCTCTTGCTAGGATTTCCAACACTATATTGAATAGAGTGGACAACCTTTTCTTGTTCCTGATCTTAAAGGAAGAGATTTCAATTTTTCGCCATTGAGTATGAGGATTGATGTATATTTATCATATATGGTCTTTATTATTTTGAGGTATGTTCTTTTTATGCCCATTATGTTGAGGATTTTTATCATAAAACAATGTTGAATCTCAACAAATACTTTTTTTGCATTATTTAGATAACCATATGATTTTTTTGTCCTTCCTTTGGTTGATGTGGTGTAACACATTTACTGATTTGCATATGTTAGACCATCCTTGCACCCTTAGAATAAATCCCACATGATCACGCTGTATGATTCTCTTAGCATATTGCTGGGTTCTATTTGCCAACACTTTCTTGAGGATTTTTGCATCTTTGTTATTAGATATATTGGTTAGTAGTTTTCTGTTTTTCACTATGCCCTTGTCTGGTTTTGGAATCAGGGTAATGTTGGCTTCATAGAACATGTTTGTAAGTTTTTCCTCTCTTCAATTTTATGGAAGACTTTTAATAGCTTAGTTATTAATATTTCTTTGAGAGTTTGGTAGAAGAAGTTTGGTCCTGGACTTTTGGTTTTGGGGAGGGCTTGATTACTGTTTCAGTTTAATTTCCTTACCCACAATGGGTCTGTTCAGGTTTGCTATTTCTTCCACATTCAGTGCTAGAATGTTGTGTATTTTTAAGAATTTGTCCTTTTCTTCTGAGTCCAGATCATGTTCAGAATCCAAGGCTGCAAGAATGGAGAACAGGGGAAAATGGCAGCTTCTTGGGGTCTCCAGATTGTCTCTCACCCCCTGTGGAGTACCCAAGAATGCTCTGTTCTCCCTCTGTCTCAGAAATGTCCTCATCTATCTCTTGTGTTTCTGGACCCTCTGGGAAAACTGGATTTGGTTTCAGGACATGGGAAGTTAGATCTAGTTTCAGGACAGGGGCATTAGCAATTTCTGAAAGTACAGTGAAAAGTTTGGGAATCACTTTCCCTGACCGGGAGAAGGTTGACCCCACAAAACTAAGATCTTTACAATACACAGAATTGGATAAGGCAGAAGGTTCTTCAGGTCCAGGGGTATGCTCCTGAGATAGCTGCAGCTCAAACAGAGCATTTCTGGATGGACAGTTAAAACTACAAACACCAGGGGTTCCCAGAGCAGCTGGAACAGGCCTGAGGAGCGTACCCATGTTAAGTGCCAGAGTCCCTAAGAACCTAGCTGAGGTAGCAGGGCAGCAGCCAAGGCAGCAGGGGTGATAGAGACAACTGTAGATGTAGTGCCAGGAGATGTAGGCAGCCAGAACACAGAGAAGTT